GCCATCTTCGTAATTCTAAACCATCAAAAACCCTTCTTCACTTTCAATTGCTCTCTTCTCCAAAGTTCTAAATCACCAATTCTCTCAAGAAATCAGCTCTAATGACAAACCCACAAGACAATCCTGGAACTCCTCCACAACCCACTCCCTCTGATTCATATACCCCTCCTCCACCTAGCACGTCTCCCAAACCCAGGCTAAGAAGAGTAAAAATGCTTGCACGCAAAACATTGGCATCCGGTGCTCTCTCAAGCAAATTGAATGACCAATTAAAGGCAAGTCAGACTCAAGACTCTGATTCTGAGTCGTACAGATTTTCTAGTGAGGGGGAAGGACCTGGGTCTTCTGACTCTGAGAAGGCTCAAGAATCCTCTTCTAAGGTAAGTTCCTCTGTGACTGAGAATTTAGAAAATAGGTTTGTCCTGGTTGGGCCTATAACGGATGTGGAATTACCTGAGTTAAGACGGAGTGGAGGTAAAAAGAAATCTGAAAAAGAAAAAGAGAGAGAGGGTGAATGTGGTGACGAGAGGGGAAAAGGGAAAAGAGTGGTTGATCATTCACCCACTGCTGATTCGTCTGTACTTGCTATTTGTGGGGTTGAACAAGAAAATGTTGAAGAGAGTGGCAAGAAGTCAGGGGGAAGTGGTTCTAGTGAAGCTGCTGAAAGGTTAGTTAATCTAAGCGCACAGGGAGATGAACATGGTTCATCAACTGAAGAGACCCTAGCAGACCTGTTGAAAGGTAGGGGCAAGTTACGATCCAAAGAAAAGAAAAGCTTCATCCCCCAACAACTATTGAAACTTCCTTGTCAAAGGGAAGATCCACAAGAAGCAGGGTGGAACAGAGTGAGAGCGATCTACAAAAGGCTCTGGCTGAGAGTAAGAAGAAAAGGATGGCTAAAGGAAAGGGTAAGGTTACAGAGTCCTCAGAAGCGGTTGATGTTGAGGAGATAGAACAGGTCCATCAGGAGAAAGTTACAACAGTGGAGGTTTAGACCCCCAAGCCCAAAAAGCCCAAGACTTCTTCCAAGAAGTCTTCCTCTGTGTCTGAGGCTGCCGAACCTTCATTGGCCAAGAGGACAAGGTCTGCAGTGAAAAGTAAACAAGTTAGAGTTTCTGAAGATGAGGAATGGAGTGGTGAAGAAGAAAATGAAACTGATGGTGAACAAGACAAGCTTGCCATGTTTGGCAAAAGAAAATTTTTGAAGGGAAGATTGTTGAAAGATTTGGTGGAACCAGGGATGGTTCATTTGGTTGACACACTGGCTGCTCAGGGGTAGAAGGACATGGTCCTTCAGATGGATAAGAGACTGGCCAAAAATAAAATCATTGAATTCATGGCAAATGTTGAAGTCAAAGATGTACAGAGTTACCAGCAAAGTCAAAGGAGTTCAAGTAACATTTGATGCAGAGAAACTGGAGAGATTCTAGACATCCCTGCTGAGGGATATGATTATTACACCAGACAGAGATGGATAAATCTGGATTCCCTTCCATCTGCCCTTACAATCACTAGGAGATTTTGTAATGAAGAGGTGAATGAGGCCAAGTTTGTGCACAAGAGTGAAATGAAGCCACAGTACAAAGTCATTTTTGAGTATTGATGATTAATCCATGATTGCAATTGCAGTTTCCCAAGTGGCCATGAGTACTTATTAAAATCTGGGATTCACACTTTGTATGCAACTTTTCGATGATGCCAAGAGGAGGGAGAGATATTGTGCATTACATATTCTGAATAAGTGATATTTATAACCTAATTAACCTGGTCCTTGATGATAAGTGAATTTTCTAAACTTTGTATCGATGGTTAAGCTGAGTTCTTATAGGATCCAAGTAAGTAAAAAACACAGATTTTGTCATCATCAAAAAGGGAGAATTTGTTGGCCCAAGTACAGGTGAAGTTTTGAAGACTGACCAAAGAACTCGGACATGGACTAGGTCCATCTTGTGAAGCACAATCATGATCAACCCAAACATGTGAGATCCACGTGAAGGAGATAAATCTAACTTATCAGAAGTAATATCTCCTGATTTAATCGAAAAGGTTGTATATTGGATAGGGAGAGAAAGACTCCTTACATAAAGAGAACACAGTTTAAGAAGAAGATAGTGTTAGAGTATGAGATCAACTAGAACTCTTCTACGATAGAAGAGTAGTATCTGAATCCCAGTCAATCTGTAATTACTAACCCATTAAAAATCAGTGTTGTTCTCTTTTACAGGTAATGCACATAAGCAGAAGTTAAAACTTAAATTGAGAGCAAAAGAGCAAGGCAATTTTGCAAGCAATTTATGTGTGATTCAAGTGTGCAATCCTGAAGCTACTTGAACGAGATAGAAGAACCGGTTCCAAATATCTATCTTTTATTCTAGTTCAATTGTAGTAGGTGATTTTACATTGTACCTTTCAGCTTTTATAGAGGCAATTGTATTAGGTACTTAGAGTTTTCAAGTTAGAGTTAACTTGAAGTTGTCACAACAGTTGAGGCTGTGTGCCACAACGGGATTAGAGTTAATCCTTGGTTTACAAAGAGTTTTTGTAAATGCAGTTTTTGGCTCAGTGATTTTAGTGGATGTTTGAGAAAATCCGACTGAGTAGTAGGTCGTGGTTTTTTTACCTTTTGAGCCAGGTATTTTTCACGTAAAAATCTCTGTGTACTTTATTTTCTTTACTTATTATTCCGCAAACAGTAGGAGTTAGAACACATAGAAGAACCAGGTCCTTCTATAATTCAATTAAGCAAAAATTGGGTACCACACAAATCACCCCCTCTTGTGTGGTATTGAAGTATAAAATATCATAAAGTATTTACTTCCAAAGAGATAAAAGTATCAAATATTAGGCCTCTTGCCTTTTCATAGTTCATATGGAGTCTTCTTCAGAATGGGTCGAATCAAACACTTATTTAATATATGACATGATGTGTTGACTGCTTCTGCCAAGAAGTAGTTTGGTAGAGAATGCTCCAGTATCATGGTTCTAGCCATATCTTGCAGAGTTCTATTTTTGTGTTCCACTACCCCGTTTTGCTGTGGTGACCTTGGTGCTGAGAAATTATGAGTGTCTCTTTGGTCATTTCAGAATTCCTCAAATGATTTGCTTTCGAATTCTCCTCCATGATCACTCTGAATGGTTGACATAAGGTACCCCTTTTCTCTTTCTATCTTTTTACATAAGATCTCAAAGTTCTTTAGAGATTCATCTTTGTGATCCAAAAATATTACTTATGTAAAACGCGAGTAATCATCAACAATAACGAAAGAATACCTTTTTCCTTCAATACCGGCAATTCTAGTATGTCCAAATAAATCCATATACAAAAGCTGAAGAGGTTTGATTGTGGAAACAATATCTTTAGGTTTGAAAAAATTTCTAGTTTCCTTACCAATCAGACATGCATCACATACATAATTTTTAGAGTAGTTGAGCTTAGGAAGGCCAATAACTAGTTCATGCTTAGACAGTTTTTCAATCAAGTACATGCAGCCACGGATCATCAAAGATGGATGCTAGACAAATATGACTATCCAAATTATCAATGCAATCCAAAATGTGATATTTCCATACCTTTTTCCCGAAAGAATGATTTTACTTGATTCGTCTTCAATAGCACACCTAGTTTCCTTAAATTTCACTTCATATCCAGAATCGCATAGTTGAATGATGCTTAGTAGATTGTAATTTAGTCTATCTACAAGATAAACTTCAGTAATATCACAGTTATTGTCAAACGGAACTATTCCGGTACAAACAATTTTGCCTTTTGAGTCATCACCAAACTTGACATTTCCTCCATTGATTTTGGTAACATTTTTTAATATATTTTTGTTGCCCATCATGTGACTGGAACACACACTGTCGAGATACCACTTCCCTTTTCAAATTTTCCTGTGATGTTCCTACAAAGAAAGATTATTACCTTCTTTTAGGTACACAAGCTTGCTTGGGTCCTTTTTGGTTAGTTCTATTATATCATAGCCAATTTTAAGCTTCCATATCCATCCGACAACATTTTGAGTTACAAAATCTATAAAGGAGTACATATGACTAGTTTTATTGCAATAATGACAAACAGTGATGGATATTTCACCGGATCTACTAGTGGTGTCTTTACTAGTAGTTTCATTTCCAGCAGGTCGTTTGCTAGTTGACTTACAAGTTGTCTGGTTAGACCTAACAGAACTGTGATTGGTGGATTTGCGTATGCGTTTTAGTTACAACTGCAATTCCTGAACTTCCTTTTGAAGAAAATCTCTTTCGATTTCACATACTTTAAGTTTACGTTCCAGTCTTTCTTTTCCTTATTGAGTCTCTTTAATTCATTTAACATTTTTAGGCTATTTTAGGGTAATATCAAGAATATCCTATAATTCATTATATTTTTCACAGTTATAGGGTCTTACTTCACTTGTTTCACCGCGTTCCATGAAGTAATTTTCAGTTTCTTCTTTGTTGTCATCATCTGGTACATCTTCATCAGTCCAACATCAGAGTATTTGTTCATATCATTTTCCAAGATGGTCATGAAGCATAAATTTGTTATTTCTTTATGTTCAGAGATGTCTTCATCGCTCCAGATTCCGAAGGTCTTGTTCTTGGTAAAACATCTAGAGACTTTCCTATTGAGTTCCGGGCATTCAGCTTGAACATGACCATACCTTCCATATTCAAAATATTTTCTATCATTTTTGTCTTGTTCATTGAATTGTCTAGTTCTTCTAGATGATATTCTTCCCTTTTTCGTATTTCTATATCTTCTCATTAGTCCATTCATATTTATCGAGACCATGGAAATTTCCTCTTCCAATGCCTATTCATCATCATCATTGTTTTTTTTAGATCCTTCAGCTATGGTTTTGAAGGCAATGCATTTCTTTTTTTTTCTTCCTGACCATGTTTTTTGAGATGTGTTTTCTCAAAAGCTATAAGGTCTCCATGTAGTTCATCATATGACATTTGTCCAAATCGTGAGACTCAAATGAAACTAATTTTTTCTGTCATATGGTGGGCAAACTTCTTAGGATTTTTCGAACTTGTTCATCACTGGAACGTGATCTACTAAAAGCTTTTAGATCTCCAATAATTTTACTGAATCGTGCAAATATTTCTTCAATGAATTCACCTTCTTTCATATGAAAGAGCTCATAGTCATGAACTAGCAAATCTATCCTTGTTTCTTTTACTTTGCTCGTTCCTTCATAGGTAACTTGCAGTTTAACCCACATTTCCTTAGCTGTATAGCAGCTTAAAATTTTCTCATATTCTTCTCCACTGATAGCATTATATAACAAATTTCGTGCCTTAGCATTGGCTTGGATTACTGCCATTTGCTCATCAGAATAGTCATCTATATCTTCTGGATCAGTGGATGTTTGTCCTTCAGCTTTCTTGTCAGACTTTGCTGTTGGAAGGGGATAGTTTCCCTTCTTGATTACGCGTCACACTTTGATATCATAGCACTTTACATATATTTCCATGCGAACTTTCCAATGGGAGAAGTGTTGTCAATTGAAATATGGCGGCCTTACCTGAGACTCCCTTCTTTAAATAGTGCCCCAGTAGTTACTTGATTTGCCATGATCTTTTCTCACTAGTTGTTAAGCAAAAGGGTAAATATGTGAGACCTTCTCTAATACCAATTGAAAGTACAAGTTGCGGGTAAATTATAACTCTTTCTTTTCTTTCACGAGTTAGTTGACTAATTTTGTTGTTAGTTGACTGAATCCTTGATGCGGATTGACATGAAGTAAGTACAGAAAATAAATTGCAGAAGGTAAATGACACCTGATGTTTTATACTAGTTCGAATTTAATGTGAATCCTACTCCAGTCCCCTTGGGTTGTAAGGGAGCTCTCTTTTGAATATTTTAAATCTTTGGTACAGGTATATTGATGTTGTTATACATCTTCTTCACGATATACGTTATTTTCTTGCTTTTGATACAATGTCCCACCAATGTTTTTTCTCTCTTTCGTCTCTCCCTTACACAGTAAATCTAGAATAGACATCAATACTTGTTTGGAGTAGAACAAAAATATTGATAGCGGTTCGATCAAAGTATATCCTTCCGTTGAGCTTCGTATTGAATTTATGTGATTTGAAGGCGAGCCTTCTTGGTATGATAGATCCTTAGATGACGAGCTACCCAAGGGAGTTGATCCTTAAAATCAAATCATGAATTGATTACTTCCAAGAATATGGGAGGAACTTTCTATAATTGGTCCTTGAAGAGTGGCGTGATGGATGTCACTTCCTTGAAGGTTGTGATTGATTATTCTCCAAATCTTTCATGCAGATTGACTGCTATGCCTTCCATAAATAACTGCAATTCAATATTTGTTCTCCTTAATGCTCGTAATCATGTGCAAGATTGATTTCTTAATCCTTGATTTTGAATCTTTAGCAGGATCTCACTCATTAATCTATCCTTCTGGATCTTGGACATGCTCTCGATCTCTTCTTCATTCGTTGCCTTCCATTTTGCTTTCTTGGCTTCCTTCTTTGGAGTTGATTTCCTACAATAGAAGTAAGTTATTTTCTATCACTAAAACATAGATCTAACACTTCCACCCTTCACAACTATGATCCCTAAGCAACATAAGCCTACCTTTTATTTATCTGGTTCAAATTGAATAAGAAAGTGAACATAATAATCTAATTTTTATGACAAATGTTATTATAGCAATGAAACTAAGTAGGCGTTTGGACATAAAAAATTTAAATTTTTGGAAAAAGTAGTATTTGGAGTTAAGTTGAAAAATAATATTTTAAAGTTAAAATTATGTTTAGACATGCATTTCACTAGAAAAAATATTGCAGTTTTATGAGTGGAGAAAAAAATTCTGAAAATTTTAAAAAAAATGGTCAAAACCACTTTTTGATTTTTGAAAAGCCCATTTTTGAAAAAAAAAATTAAAAAAAAAATTCTTGGATAAATACGTTTTTGAAAAAAAATAAAAAAAAAGGAAAAAAAATATCTATGGACAAACGGGTCATAAGTGTTCGCCGACACCAAGGCTTATACTCTAGAGCAGAGCCGAATTCAGAGTGAAGTAATTAAAACCTAGCCAATAAGTCATTTCTTCGATTGGTTTTCGGAATTAAGCCACAAATTCATAAGTCATCGAGATGTATCCAGTATTTTCGATGAAAATACTTTTTGGATAATAATACCCCTCTCGCGTCTATATTTCTTAAGCTCACTTCTATATCATCACCCCTAAAGATTTTTGCAATGTGTTGCTACAGATTTAACGTCATTACCACAAATTAAAATAAATTCTCGTCCTTCAATTATTCTAGTGATTATTGCTAAGAATTTGATTTTGCGTTGTAATTCAGATTATAATGATTATAGATTTATATTCTAGAGATTGAACAATAGCAGCTTTAACCACCAATAATTTATGTTTGTGATTGGGATCGAACTAAAAATAGCTGAATTTTTAACAAAATTAAAATCTCAAAGTTAAAAAGTTAATTGCTAGATATTGGAGCACAATATGAATCCCGGATTATTATGCTAAAATTTCATATGAAAAATAGTTCAAATTTTAAAATATTATGCTTGATTTTTTCCGTGTATCAGACCAAATACTGGAGATTAATCATGTGCATGTTGAATATGCAACAATTTATTTTGTGATTATCTTTATTATAAAATCCCCCTTGCCCCAATTCCTTTTCTGTGTTCGCGACCCCCTGTCGTGTTCGTGAATAACAAAACCTCTCATGACAGTCTGCTTCTTCGCAATCGCGAGACTTGCTTCACGATTGCGAAGCACACCAGTACTAGCAAAAAACTACAACACGAAACATGCTTCGGGCAGGGGCGGCCAGACCCTAAAGCAAGTAAAGCACTTGCTTTAGGTCCAAGAATTTAAGGGCCCCAAAATTACTACTTCATTTTTTTTCATATATAGTATATTATTTATATAATTATTCTTATTATTGATAAAAAAAATTTTATTGTCATATTAATTTTTAATAACTCAATTTCTTCCTCTAATTAATATAACCTAAATAGTTTTCTGTCAATCTTATTTTATGTTTTTACTGAATTATATTTCTCTATTCATTAGTTAGTCACGTAACAATATGTAATAATCTAACTTATCATTTATTTTTCTCACATTAATTATACTCGCTCTGTCCTAGTTTATATGAAAGTGTTTGACTGGACATGTGGGTAAAAATCATCTCATTAAGGGTAAAAAGGAAAATCTAATGTTAAATTATTACCAAATATAAAAAGGGGTCTGACTAAAAAAAAGGAGTCACATAAATTGGGACGAAGTAAGTATGTTTTCTGGGTTCTTTCATTTCAAAAAATGATGCTTATGTGTGTGTATATATAAAAGTCTCTTATTAAGGCTTTGCTTTAGGCCTCGAATGTTATTGAGCCGCCCCTGGCTTCGGGTGGTTCGAAATTCATCTGAGCTACCCAGGATCCCGTCCAATCATACCAACAAGCCCGTAAACATAAATCGGACCTACTCAAGGTCTCAAAACACATAAAATAGCATTACAACCAAGAAACACACCCCAAATCAAACTAATCAACTTCTCAAACTTCCAACTTCCTTCAACAAATTCTGAGCGCGGCGAATCATGCTTGGGCAACTCGAAATGGAATAAAATTTCACACATAATTCCAATATGACAAGATGAACCTGTCCCAAGCTCGAAATACCAAATAGAATCCGATATCAGCGAAGTCAACTATCGGTCAAACTTAAGAACTCTCCAAACCTTCAGATTGCTAACGTTCGGTAAATAGAGTCAAAACCTACTAGGAATATCCAAATTCAAATCCAAAAATACGCCTAAGTCCAACATCACTATATGAACATATTGGAACCTTCAAATCACGATTCTGAGGTCGTGTACTCAAAAGTCCAACATTGATCAATTCTTCCAACTTAAAGCTTCCAAATTGAGAATCACTCTTCCAAATCAATCCCGAACATCTCGAAAATTAAAACCAACCCTACACACAAATCATAATGCATCATGCGAAGCTACTCAAAGTCTCAAACCACCAAACGGATTGTTAAAGCTCGAAAAGACCAGCCAGGTCGTTCCATTATGACCTTGCTTTTATTTCTACAAAATAGAAACAAATACTACAAAAATAACATAATGAAAAATTAATAAACAAACAAAAAAAAAGTAAAGTTGAGTTGCCTCCCAACAAGCACCTAAATTTATATTGTGGCACGACATGAACCTCTAGCTTAAGCTGGACGCTTTCGCTTCATCTTTCTCTCATGGAGTCTTGCCTTCTTACGCGCTCGAGTGAGATCTTTTCTTTCCTCTTTGGCATGTTTCTCTTTCACCTTTACGCATTCAGCTTCCAATACCATTTCTTCTAACTCACCTTTCTTTTCAAGACCACTAAGATTCACATCATGACCTTGCTCTATAAACTTTGACTCCACCATATAAATCATGCACAAATTCTCATAATTCTTGAAAAGTTTAAGCGCCTTTTACACATTAAAAGTGACTTCCTCATCATGCACTATCATCTTAAATTTTTCTTCTCTCACGTCGATAATTGCTCACCAGTAGCCAAGAATGATCACCCAAAAATATTAGTCACTTCCTCGTCTGCCTTGTAGTCAAGAATAATAAAGTCAGCAAAAAAAATAAAATTCTTCACTCGTACTAGCACATCCTCAATAATCCCTGTTGACATTGTCAACGACATATTTGCTAATTGTAAAGTGATCGTAGCATGTTTAGTGGATCCCAATTCGAGGTTCTTAAAAATAGATAGTGGCATCAAATTAATATTTGCCCCTAAATTACATAGGGCTCTACTAATCTCATGTTTTCCAATGTCCAAGGGGATTGTAAAACATCTAGGCTCCTTCAGCTTTGGAGGAAGCTTACTCTGAACTCTAGCACTGCACTCCTCAATAAGTGCAATTGTTTCAAATTTTGCATGTCTCCGCTTGTTAGTCACAATCTCTCTAAGATACTTGGCATAATTAGGCACTTCCTACAACACTTGCATCAAAGGCAGATTCACTCGTACTTGGCTTAAAATATCTAAAAACTTCTTATACTTAGTATCGTTTTTCTGTTTGCGCAATCTTTGTGGAAGATGGTGGTGGCCTTTCATCTATATCTTATCTTTGTGTATCATCTATATTTTCTACTTCCTTTATTATCTTAGCCACCAGCTCTTTTTCAAGTACATATTTTTTAGAGGGCAACTCCTCTAGTGCTCTTCCACTTCTCAGATTGATTAATTGCACTTGTTCTAAAGATTTTTCTTAGTATTGCTTGGGAAAGCTCTAGCGGGTCTAACATTCTTATTGTAGACTATTTGCTCAAATTGCCTCTCCAAATTTCTGAAATTTATCCATAGTTGTTGATTGTCAATCCTGAGTTTTTGATTATCAAGCAAGAGTTTTTTCAGCAAATCATTTGTAGTCACTTCTGTCTGTTGTGGTGGCGTCTGTGATAAGTTGTAGTTTCCTTGAGGTCGGTTATTATTCTGATTACCACCCCATGAAATATTAGGATGGTTTCTCCGATTGGGATTATACGTGTTCCTATACCGTCATT